CTCTTTTTCCATTGAACATTTTATTAATCATGACTATTTCCCATAATTCAAGTTAACAGTTTGAAATCAAACTCCGCATAATACTTTTGTTTCTTTCAATAACAGATTCAACTGCGTTTATTCTTTGATATTCTTTTTCTTAAATTGTAATACAAGAGATAAGTTCGACACTTCTTTAAATCAGCTAGATCTTGCAGATTGTCCATCACTCTGAACACTGGCGGATTTGTTTCGTGTCCCAATTCACTTGTGTTACATTATATCCCTCAAACGAAGAGAGAAGGTTAAGTATTACTAAGAATCTGACGAGATTCACTATCACTATAATTGTTTTTCTCAAATAACTCCAAAAACCCCCAGTGGCAAATGATATGTTCTCGGTTAATATGTATTTAAATTTACATGTCTTGTTATTTAAATCATTTTGGATTTCGAGTACTATGGTTTAAGGTTGTTGCCACTAACGTGTCCGAACATTCGATGCGAAAAATATGATTAGGAATTTAAGAGGGGATAGTCATGTTTTTGTATGTTGAAGACTTTTTGTTTACTTAGGCTACCATTAAAGAACATGTACAATGTTTATAAGTTTTTTTTTTGGTTATTAAGATTATCCATAACAAAATGTTTCTCGGTTTTAGATTCATAGTAGGTATACGATAATTTTTTCTTTTGGGTTTCTTTTCCCGGCATCTAAATTTATTTTTTGTCAATGGGTAAATGATGACAGTTACAAAAGAGGGATCCACAAGGTTACAAAACTATAACCAATTTCCACTTTGATGTGTAATGACAACTAATTTCTTCCAACGCGTAATTATTTTAACCATTTCATAACTATAGTTTTGAATAGAAATTTGATGTGTAGTAGAAAACCAATACTCTTGACGGTATACTTTACATATATAATCGAATTTTATGATTCTGTTAATATATTTTAAAATTACAAAACATTTTTATTTAATATTATTTAGCATTTTTTTACAGCAATATTATTTAACATTTTTTGAGTTAAAATATTCTTGTTTTAATTAGTTTAATTTAATTTAAATGTTTTATCTTTTTTATATTAACAATCACATGTCTACTAATTAAAAAGTTACAACTCTTTAAATGGTGACTTTTCATTAAAATAAAATAACTACCTACTAATTAAAAAATTACAACTCTTCAAATGACACCTTTTCATTAAAATAACTACTT